GGTAAGTGCCTTCACCGCTTTCAGTCTACTCCCATATCATAATCCCTTCCAGACCATGATCACTTCCAGATCATAATCCCTCCAGATCATGATCACTTCCAGATCATAATCACTTCCAGATCATAATCACTTCCAGATCATGATCACATCCAGATCATAATCCCTTCAAGATCATGATCACTTCAAGATCATAATCAATTCCAGATCATAGACACAGTTTCGGAAACCGTCCTTCTCTCAACTTTTATGCTTTGTATCAGTCCACATACGTTAGCATTCAACTCCTGTTGACTGAAATGTAGGAAAACGGGAGCGAGCTCTTCGAGCAAGAAGGGCGAGAGAAGAAACTGTTAGCATAGAACCTACGGTTACATATAGCTATTTTAGCAGTAAAAAGATGAAGACTTGCCGTCAATCTAGTACTTTAAATGATTTTCCTTATTTCAGATTTATTTATTATTTTTCCTATTTTCAAATTTTATTTTCCGTTTAGGTAACATCGAAAAATGAGAAACATTATTAATGAGCGAGGACAATAGAAGAGTAATCAAGAAAGCAATAGATAACGATTGTAGTTTAATGTTTTGGTTTTGTACATATTTCAGGTTTTATGCGAAGCTAACTCTTCTATGTTCAATGTCATTATCTCTGTACTAAATTTGTAGTTTAGTATTTATTAATTCCGCATCCTATTTAAGAACATGACTCGAGTTCTTAGGTTAATCTTTTGGTTTTGCAGCAACTTGCGGTATTGGGTGAAACTACTCCCAGCAAAGCCCATTCTATGTTCAAATTCCTTATCTCATTTGCTGGATTTGTTTTAACTGAGCCATACACCGATGTATTTGAACTGTTAACAAAACAAGGTGTAGCAAATTTGGGCAGTGATTTTATTCCTCACTCTATGCTTCGTAGAGTTAAATTAACAGATATGAATAAATCATCCTGGAATAAAAACGATACAACATATTTAACTTAATCAAAATCATTTTTCTTTTGATCGTGAACATAAGACAGACATTTTTAGAATCCTGCTTTATGGCAGATCATACTAGAGTTTCAGATTAAAAGTTTACGGGAGGCATTAAAAGCTATGAATGGACGTTCTATCATATTGTCTTCTGCAAAATTTTCAAGCTATTTTCTTTTGACATGTAGTAAATCAGTCAGTTAATTGCCATGCGCTGGACACTTCAATGTGGTTTAATGGTTAGCAAGCTTGTCTCGTTAGATCAATTGAATAGTGAGTCCGATCCCATGCTTTCGGGCTTATGCAACATCTTAGAAAACCATCAAACGTACTACACGCTGGGGTAAGCATGTCTTTTTCGATTCATGACTGATTAGGCTGATTTTCCCGCAGTAGTTTGACGTTTCTTTCTGCGGTAGACTGGTTGCCAACCAAGGCTATAGGATCCAAGCTGTCCTGATATTTCAACTATTTCTAAAAATAAATACGCCGGGCGCCAATGGTTTAGGGGCAGATTCTCTGACTAACGCCAATTCAGTCCAGTTTCGGTCCTAGCTTGAGGCAAACGGACGTCTAGTCACAATAGTGAGCTATGATACAGCATGTCTGTGGATCTCTCTCTCTCTCTCTCTCTATATATATATATATATATATATATATATATATATATATATATATAATCAGTCCAGATGTGGCAGCAATATTCTAGGGGGAAGAGAAGGATTCATACTTTTTCCCAAGAGTATCTCCGCGTAAGTAAATCTAACGAACCCTGGAATTCGAACTCGGATCTCTGATTTTTATTTCCAAGCCGATATCCATTACACCACATCCTACATCCAAATAGCACGATATTTCGATTCCATAGTCTCCCCAGCAGTTTATTTGGGTTGGTACACTTATTATTTTTTTTTCAATTTTTTTTCCAGGGTACGATTATATTCATCCTGGAATAAAAACAAATTCTCTGCGGAAAGTTGTTTTTTTAATTTGAAAAATTCCCACTTGCATGACAATTCCAGGCGACATTTATATTTGGCACAGAATATTAAGCTTTCTTTTAAAACACGTTTTCTTTAACAGGGGAAAGAAATTAATTTTTTTTATTGTATTAATACAAACTGTAATTAAAAAAAAATCAAGGAAGGCAATGAAGACAGGTGGGGTTATTGAGTATCAAATAATATAAGAAAAAGAAAACATTAAAGAAAGAGAAGAATAAAAGTCGAGACCTTTCCGCCAATCAAGTACTGCGCTTAAATTCATAAAGTCGAGGTAATAATTACCATGGAAATGTTTATAAAAAAAGGCACATAGAAGCGGCGGTAAAGACGAGATCAATACCAGAAAGTCAGAACCAATGGCATTATTGATTCTTCTTGGATTTTATCAAGGATCATGCTTCCCAGTCAACATTGATCTTCAAAAATTTAAATGCAATGTCAATCAGGTTCTGTCTTCTAAATTCTTGTTCTTTTATTATCCTCTCTCCGTAATAGTAGTTTTCTCCTATATTTCTAATTCTCTTTCTTGCGTGCTTGTGGCTTTATAGCCTTGCTTGGGGCGAAATGATTATATATATATATATATATATATATATATATATATATATATATATATATATATATATCTAATTATTTATTTAAAAATATGATTCCAACACGCTACATAAGAGGTCTCATGTTTCAAAATAAGAGCCGAAAACTTCAATATAATTATTTGAATTAAATTGAATTAAAGTACGCTCTGTTCCATCTTCAAGCGAAATTTTTTTGGGAATAACTTATTTCTGAAATTTACGCGTTTTATAAGCATATTCATTTTTGAAATCAAAATTTCTATGCTAACGGCTAGACCAATTGTTTAAAGAAAAGGGGCGTAAGGTGTTTTCGGCTCTTGTTTTGAAACATGAGACCTCTTATGTAGCGTGTTGGAATCATATTTTTAAATAAATAATTATATTTATGCTCTACTTTTGTATCGAGAACTATTTTTAAAAAATAATAACAAAAATACTAAAGAACTTTGGATTATTTATCTAACAAGTTCCTTCCTATTTTCTATATATTTTACATATATATATATATATATATATATATATATATATATATATATATATATATATATATATATATATATCCCAAAATAGGTCTATTGCTTTCCGCATTCTGTTGAGGATTCTTCTGGACTCGAGGAATTTGTTTAATATGATTATGCAGATCTCCCTAAAAATTTCTATCACTTGCATATATACTTGCTTGATTCGGCTTGTAATGTTTTAGAGGGAGCGTCTTGGGGAATGAAGACGTGGCTCTTGCCGGCATAATCTGTTGGGTCAAGTATACTTTGATGAGTTAATGACGCTTGAGTTTTATCGTAACGGTCCGGGTTCGATTCTGGTAGTGGATGGGCACTATTGATGAGTCCCAAAATAGGACGAAACGGCCGCCCACTGCTTTCTGCATTCTCTTGAGAATTCTCTTAGATTCGATTTCTTGAATTTATATTTATATATATATATATATATATATATATATATATATATATATGGCAGAAGCACTAGACTAGATGTGGCGGCGGCAATATGCTAGGCATGGATGAATGGTAGACTTATAAATATGCAACTTAGATTCAGGTGAGAAAAAATGTCTAGCATGACACAGTGAACCAACGTTCCTAGCAGCAGATCTCACAAATGATTCAATATATTTTTTTCACTTCATGCCCACGGAAAATGTTAGCCAGAGAAGGTGCAATGAGTCATTGTCATGGAGGTCAGTATCAGTCATGCTGATGGAAAGAAGAAAGGGGTCTCTTAGACGATTAATAGAGAGCAGTTTCATTTTGGAGGCGTTAAAATTAACAAGCCATTTCTTGCCCCAGTTAACAACAGACTGTAGGTGGTTTTTGACATTTTATGCCATTTTGACCTTATCAGACCGGCCAGAAGAAAAATTTCTAAAATTTGGCAGAGATAATAATTCAAGATAAATCGGCTTTTACTAATCCAGTCTCTTGTGAGAGGGATCAACCAGGCGGATTATTGATATCATTGGCTGTTGAAACTCACTGATTGAAACCATAGTCTAGTCGTCACTTGTTTCGGAGCAATGTCTGCGCACTTTAATTTCACAGAGATAATAGTTCCGTGTGGAGACAAACGTTTGATCGAAGTATTGTGCTTTTTTCGCTCTCTCTCTCTTTTCATAAACATTATTTTTCCCAGTGACAAGATTCACCATTTTGAAGGAAAAGTCGCCGAAGAGAAATCAGCATCAACAACGGAAAAAAAAGAAAGCTTCGATTAAGCTCACGTTCGTTCTCATCTGGTTTCTTTGACAACGCTATGAAACCGACTTAGATCTTCCGGTATTTCGCCACTATTGTATATTTGATTATTAACTTTAACAAAGAAATTGGTGAACTGTTACGTAGTATCAATCCTATTATATGACAGTGAATTCTGGACAGTTTTCTCACAGATGAAAAGGAGACTTGAGGCAACAAAGACGAGGTTCTACAGAAGGATGCTGAGAATACTATGCACGGAACATGTAAGCAACGAGGAATCTTTAAGGAAAATAGGACCGGCAATTTCCTCACAGATGAAGAAGAGACTTGAAGTAACAGAGATGTGGTTCTACAGAAGGAAGCTGGGAATAGTATGTATAAAATTGGGAAGAAAAAAGGACACTTGTACTTAGAATCAGCGAGTTGAAATATCTTGAACACATATTGAGGAAAGAGGACTTGGAGAGTTTGACGCTTACAAGGTAGAAGGTAATAACGAGTAACTTAGCTCGCGAGCTTGCGTAAATGGATGGTAGAAGGGGTACTGGGAGATATAGTAAAGGGACATTCATTGCTTAGAGAAAAAAAGGTTGGAAGATGTGGAGAGCCATGATCGCACACTTCCTGACGAGACATGATATATAAAAGTAAAAAGATCTATCGCATACAAATATATATGGATAAATCCTGTCCCGTCTACGCTGGGAAAATTTTTATTAAAATGTTCTCTATGCACAAGGGATGTTGACAGTCTCCCTCTTCTCTTCTATTTCTTTCTTTCTTTCTTTCTTTCTTTCTTTCTTTCAACTACCAATCTATCTTCCCTCTTTTTCTCATCTCTTTCCTTTAACAATGTAACTACACTCTTCTATTCTCTTTCTTTCTTTCTTTCTTTCTTTCTTTCTTTCTTTTATCAGTTTATCGTCCTTCTTTCTTTCTTTCTTTCTTTTTTTCTTTCTTTCAATTACCAATTTACCCCCTCTTCTCTTTCTTTCATTTTTCTTTATTTCATTCTTTCTTTCTTTCTTTCTTTCTTTCTTTCTTTCTTTCTTTCTTTCTTTCTTTTATCAGTTTATTATCCTTCTTTCTTTCTTTCTTTCTTTCTTTCAATTACCAATTTACCCCCTCTTCTCTTTCTTTCATTTTTCTTTATTTCATTCATTCATTCTTTCTTTCTTTCTTTCTTTCTTTCTTTCTTTTTCTTTCTTTCTTTTATCAGTTTATCGTCCTTCTTTCTTTCTTTCTTTCTTTCTTTCTTTCTTTTTCTTTCTTTCAATTACCAATTTACCTCCTTCTTCTCTTTCTTTTATTTTTTTTCTTTCTTTCTTTCTTTTTTCTTTGTTTCTTTTTTTCTTTGTTTCTTTCTTTCTTTCTTTCTTTCAACTACCAATCTATCTCCCCTCATTTTCTCATCTCTTTCCTTTAACAATGAAACTACCCTCTTCTATTCTCTTTCTTTCTTTCTTTCTTTCTTTCTTTCATCAGTTTATCGTCCTTCTTTCTTTCTTTCTTTCAATTACCAATTTGCCTCCCCCCTTTTACTTTCTTTTTCTTTCTTTCTTTTATCAGTTTTTCTTCACTCTTCTCTTTCTTTCCGTCTTTCTTTCTTTCAATTTATCTCCCCACTTCTCTTTCTTTCTTTCTTTCTTTCTTTTTTCTTTCTTTTATCAATTTACCTTCCCACTTTTCTTTCGTTCTTTCTTTCTTTCCAACGGTGTGAAGCGGTTGGAATGGGGTCGCTGAAACCCGGCCAAACATTGTCGGGAATGAAAAACTTCACTATTGCAGGCAAATAACCTGATGGAATATTTGCGTGTGGACATGAATGAATGGAGAAAGTGCTAAAATCCCCGGGACGCAACAGCCACACTTTGTGGGAGAGGCCGGGCGGAAAATAGCCAGAAAATTTTCGCCCGGAAATTTAATCGCCAACACCAACAGGCAATCCCCTTGAACTTGCCCAGTTGCCTATTTCTATTAAACATCAGTCAACGGCATTGGTTGGTATGAACGGGAAGACACTGCAGGACTCGTGTAAATAGCCGTGTTATTTCTCGGCCACGTTCCGCTTAATACTGATTGGAGAGGTTTCCCCAGAAACCAGCTTCACGAGAAATCATAAGCTTATTTTAGGTTGATGCATGTTGCTAATGCTTAAAAGTAAAATAAATGCTGAAACCAGAATTACACATTTAAAAAATATAAGGGGTACATTGATCGCGGAAGATAAATCCGGGTCATAAGTGTAAACTCTTAGTATAAATTACTAAGATAAGTATAAGATATAAATATATATATATATATATATATATATATATATATATATATATATATATATATATGTATATATATATATATATATATATATATATATAAATATGTATATATATATATATATATATGATAGAATCATATTTTTAAATATATATATATATATATATATATATATATATATATATATATATATATATATATATATATATATATATATATATCGGGCGTAACAGCAAAATTGTCCAAATCGTGTAACAACAAAATTGTCCAATTGTTAGGTTAAGATTTGAACCGTTGTATCTTAGAAATGATTAAAGATATCTTACCGGAATTCTCTGAAATTTTTATTACACTATCGGACTCTACTTCGAACAATCAGAATGTATTTAGCTCTAAGTTGTAATGATGATCCTTCTTCCTGTTGTTACGTTCTGATCCAGTTTTCATCTCTACTATTCCCTGTTTTATTAAACTTATTCACCGTTCTCTTGATGGTTCTTGAATGGACTTTGAAAAATGGCAGCCAGAGTGTGAAAATTGGTACCATAACTAAAGGCCTCTCTGTTGGGAAGGGTAGTGGGGCTGACACAAAACGATTTTAAGCAGTTCTTTTTCTAGATGAATAACTCAAAAAGTTTTTCCGTGATTCGTACGACAAATGGTGTCAAGATGAAAAAAAGAAACTCAAATAGTTTAGTAGTTTTTTTAGGTATTAAACATTTTGTGAGATGGACACTTATCGCATGCTGTTACACAATTTAGACAATTTTGCTGTTACACTCGGTATATCTATTATATAAATATATATAAAAAAAATCTATCTATCGTGTGGTCAAAAATGAATTGATAATGGGAAAAATCTTTAACATTTTCTGGTCTGGAGCTAATCTAAGTGAATTTCTAGAATTTTATCGTTGAAAATTTTCCCTGCTATTTTGAGTTCGATCCTCTTAGACGTTCTGTATTTTTGGCTTTGCGTCTTATCAAATTCAGCCTGGACAATATTAACTCCAGTAACTTTAGTGCTTTCGATTGTCAGCAGCATCTTATTACTGTGTGGGTTGACTTCTTTCATGAAGACCTTTGAACCCTAGCTTTCCGTCTTTGTCAGAGATTAAAATTCCCCGAACGAGATTCGCAGACAAGGTAATCTTTGATTTATTACGACACGAGCTAAGCAGTAACAGACACCGTGGGTTTATAAGCGAATAAAGACAGCTACTTCGAGATTAAATTGTCTTTTAAGAGAAGGAACTTTTAAGTCCGAGTGAATTACAGCCAAATTGCGCGTGTCTGCTAATCGTGTGTTTATTTGTGTTGATATTATACTTTAAGTATCGAAACAAACAAGTACACAAAAATTCACACAATGATACATACATACATATGTTGATTCGTAAATAATTTCCGTTTTATATATTACTCGAATTAAGCGTTCTTTAAATATATTTTAACAGGTGATGAAAAGTGGATTGCATACGACAATGTTCAACGTAAAATCCAATGGACTGACATGGGTAAATCCCCACAACCACAAGATATATATATATATATATATATATATATATATATATATATATATATATATATTATTTATTTAGTTATTCTTGTTTTATTTTAAAAACAGTGCTCAATACAAAGTAGAGCATAATATTATAATTATTTTTTTAAAATATGTCTCCATCGTGACACAGAAATTATTGTTTCGAAACCGAATACCAACATTTCCAACTTATAAAAAAAATAAATCGATTTCTCCGTAAGTTATATCGCTTGAGAATGAAACTGTGCTCTAAGTCTTAAGTTTAATTTTGAAATTAAACTTTAGGACTCGGGTTTTGGTTTCGAAATATCGTAATTTCTGTGTCGCGATGGAAACATATTTTTTAAAATATATATATATATATGTCTATTGACATAAATAATAAAATATAAATATAAATAATAAAAATCTATTAAACAATAGACATGAGTTAACGGTTTTTTGCCGACATCATCAAATTTTTGCATTGAATAATTAGCTTAAAAACAAACATACAATAAAATAATTTTTATAATCCATAGCCCTAATAAATAGTTTAAATACCCTACCAAAAAGATAACCCTTTATGAAGTCGTCAAAAAACAAATGTTACCGCAGTTTTTTTTTATATACACAAAACCCTTACCGAAAGAAATAAAATAAAAAAATAAATAAATCTCCATAGACACGTAAACCAGACTAGGCGAAAACATCTTCCGTTTTAAATTTAGACACCCCCACCTTACCCTGACTTGACATCTATGAATGTAACTCTATACTGATACAAATTATTAACACGTAACACCCCTTCTGATTTAAACAATCGCCCTGGCTGTTACCATGGAAATTTTGATTTTGATTTCAATTATGAATATGTTAAATTTCAGAAATAAGTTATTCCCAAAAAAATTTCGCTTGAAGATGGAACAGAGCTTACTTCAATTCAATTTAATTCAAATAATTATATTGAAGTTTTCGGCTCTTGTTTTGACACATGAGACCTCTTATGTAGCGTGTTGGAATAATATTTTAAATAAATAATTAATATATATATATATATATATATATATATATATATATATATATATATATATTATATATATATATATATATATATATTAATATTATATAATATAATTATTAAATGAACTTAATCCGACAATTATTTTAATCTATTTTCTCATTATGCGCTAGACTCAAAGGGCAAGAAGAGACTTGAAGCAAGAGAAATATGGTTCTACAGATGGAAGCTGAAGATACGATGGATTGAATGATTGTCCACCATTCACCGCCAAACAGTGTCGGGGACAGATATCAAGTAACAGTTAAGGACTTTTTTCCTTGTTTCTAATGAAGTTTTCCTATTCCTTAATACTTTGCTTAGCTTTTGGAAGACACATTTTGCTATCCCAATGCGCCTTCAGATTTCAGTGTCACACATTCCCCCCTCTGTTAAAACACTTCACAGATATTTAAATTTCTGTACTTGTTTGATTTTGCTATCTCCGATTTGCAATTCCAACTTTGGGCTCTCGTCCTTTTGCTAATAGCCACGCATTCCGTCTTCTGGCTGTTGGTGTTTAATCCTTTCCTTTCCGTTTTCTTTACGACTCCTGTAGAAGTTTTTGTAGTTTTTTGTGTCATCTGCATACCTTATGCTGTTAAGATTGTGTCCGCCAATAATAAATCCTGGTAGGACTTCTACTTCTACCAGAATCGCCTATGAAAACACGAAATCACATATGAAACACGAATACTGAAAACACGAATTTTAATAATTTGGTTATTTATTCACTGGCCGAGTTTCGGGTCGGACTTGGCATTCTCTCATGAGGTAAGGGAAATAGATTTCTTCACATCTTAATTCCGCCGGTCCACTGCTACCAATATCACTGGTTCGACGGTCGGCTCCTTTCACTACCGGCACTCCATTTGTATAAGACTGTAAACGAAATTTCCAACTTCCGGTTTGTTTTCATCTATCCCCAAAAGTGTTTATTTATCTATTATTGTATTCCTTTTGGGTCAAGTTGGTGGCCGTTTTTGAAAACGCAATTTCCCAGATTTTACTGCCGACCGTAAAAACATCAACCACTTCCGACTCAAAAAAACATATTTTCGGACTCACTTGACTTCGTGATTGGTCAGCTGGTCATGCGATCTATTGGGCCACACCCCGAAAAAAGTCTAGTAAAAGGGAAACTAAAATTAAAACAAGCTTGAAGAAGGAAAGTCTCCTTCGGGTTATAATGCATTGGACACACTAATACTGCTATGTCTTTAGTAGATATCGTGCACCTATGACTCTAATGGGTTAGGGGAGACGTGACATGAAGAGATTAGACCCTTGTGGTCGTTTCACATTTTAGGCTTCGGGCCTTATCAAATTCGGTCTAATCGATATCACACTCAGCGTTGTATTGATAAAATACCAGAAACTTAATCTTGTCAGCTTTTGACAGCGCAACCAAACTAGTTTCCGATATAACCTCCACAGGCGCGTTGCTAAGTGGTCAAAATGTTAGCGTTCCGAACACGAGACTTGGGTTCGGATCTCACCATAGTCGATTTGCCAAGGAGTTGACTTCGTGATAATGTCAACGTCGAGAGACGGTCATAGCGTGCGACACCGTGGGGACGTTCTTGAAAAACTTACAGGCGAAACATTGTTAGTAAAACTGGGGAGACAAAACAGTTCGGAAGTCGTCGATTGCCTGTTATGTGCCATGCGTAGGCGATCATGTATCTTTCGATACATGAGTGGCGAGGCAGAATTTTTTTTCCCGCAGTAGGTTGCCATTTCTTTCTGCGGTAGAGCAGTTGCAATCCATGGCTATAGAACCCGGTCTGTCCTGCTATTCAACCATAGCTGGCGGGAAAAGAAGCGGAAAGGAGAAGAGGATTAACATCTTCCCCAAGGGTATTAGAACGTAAGTTAATGTAATGGATTCGACTGGAACTCGGCTCTCTGATTCCTCAATCCGAGCCGCTATCCATTACTCCACCGTGCCTCTTCTTCTCGTTGATTGTACTAACTCGAAAACACCAATCGTCATTGACCGAGTCGTTGAGCGTACTTGTCGTTTTCAACAAAGAAACCACAACTTACCAACATTTTCAACTTATAAATAGAGTAAACCGATTTCTCCTTGAAACGAAGATGCACTTAGCATAGTTGTCGTATAAAAGTAGGGTCTGGTTTGTTTGAGCAGGTGTCAACAACAGGGATTAGCTAGTAACCAGCCATTACTATATAATCTCCATATATGAACATCGACCAACTTCGTTTGTGACCAACTTCGTTTGTGACCAACTTCGTTTGTGATCAACTTCGTTTGTGACAAACTTTCGCAGTCAGTGTCAATCTATCTATCTAAAGGGTGTTTCGTTAAGACGGATCAAAGTCAGCAGTAAATAATTCAGTGTTATTGGTGAAAATGTATTTATTTCTCTATTGGATCTTCTTATTTAAGACATGGCAATTATGTGTGAAAAATAATATCGCCCAAATGTCCGCCAAGGCTTCGGCGGCACAGCTCCACTCGATGGTCTAAATTTTTGATGACGTCTCTGCATAGATGCTCCTCAATCTCACCAATACGCCTTATTATCTCATCCTTCAGCTGTTGAATTGTTGTTGGCACAGACATTATTTTCGAGATGACCCCAAAGGAAGAAATCTAAAGGCGTCAAGTCGCACGATCGTGGTGGCCAATTGACTTCGCTGTTTCGAGAGATGATGTGACCTAGGAATTTCTCATACAAATTCTGTTTGAACGTCCATTTTCGTAATAGGCTTCGATAACTTTAACACGTTGTTTGATTGTTAATCTTTCCATGGTTGAAATTGCCAAAGACTTAAGTTGTTAAATCTGAAAGAAAAAGAAAAAAATCATTAGACGATTAAACTTAATTCACATTTAAAATCGGTCCAAGTTATTGGAACAACATTTATCTCTATCTATCTATCTATCTATCTATCTATCTATCTATCTATCTATCTATCTATCTAATTATAGTATATCGCACATATAGTGCTGGTGTTAATAAAACAATGCTCGATACAATACAACAGAGCAATTAAGTATATATTAGTATATATCCATATCCCCCACCGAAAAATTAGTTAAACACTTAAATAACGAAGAACCTTTTAACCAAGAGAAATGAATTCATTGTTACATGTAGGCCTAAAAATCTGCTTAAATACGGTGATCCAGATGAATTTTTAGTGTAAATTGTGGTATTTTTAAAAGGAAAAAGTAATCTCCCATTATGCTTAATGCAAAAAAAATAAAAATAAAAATAAAAATAATATTCACAACTCTAAAATAATATTTATTTTACAAATATATGGAAACCCCATTTATGTTAAACATGAAATATAATTTTTAAAATTAAAATACTGTAATCTCCAAAATCTATCTATCTATCTATCTATCTATCTATCTATCTATCTATCTATCTATGTCTGATCATATCTATCTATCTTGGTCTGATCACTATCTATCTATCTATCTATCTATCTATCTATCTATCTATCTATCTATCTATGTCGATCTATCTATCTATCTATATTTCACTATCTATCTATCTATCTATCTATCTATCTATCTATCTATCTATCTATCTATCTATATTTGATCACTGTCTGTCTATCTATCTATCTATCTATCTATCTATCTATTTACGTCTGATCATATCTATCTATCTTGGTCTGATCACTATCTATCTATCTATCTATCTATCTATCTATCTATCTATCTATCTATCTATTTACGTCTGATCACAATCCATCTATCTATGTCTGATCACTATCTATCTATCTATCTATCTATCTATCTATCTATCTATCTATCTATTTACGTCTGATCATATCTATCTATCTATCTATCTATCTATCTATCTAAGTCTGATCATTATCTATCTATCTATCTATCTATCTATCTATCTATCTATCTATCTATCTCACTCGTTTATCTATCGTAAATTAACTTTACGGGAAGAATTAATATCGCACTCACTTGAATGTCTTTTGATTTCACATGGCTCACCCAGTTTTGTAATCTTGTACCAAACAGAGTTCAGCTTAGAACGCCCAGCTTTCTTGTTTGTCTCCTAACTTCGGTATTTTCCAGTCTGTTTAGTACGAATTCCATTATCCTCTATTCTTATTTCCAAGACGCGTTGCAAAACAAGCGAAAATGTTTCTCTTGAACATATCTGTTCTTGCAAAAACATATAATGAATTTTGCATAGATTTTCGGAAACGGATTTCCTTAAAGACTGGCAGACTTTATTTCTTGATTCTTCCAACCTGGTTCACCAGTTTTCATTTTACGTGCAGTTTCACAATACATCGATTGAATTTGAATAAAAAGATAAAGTTTAATAATTTCATGCCACCTCCTGGAAATGTCATCTTTACTTTATCTCCATCGTTATGTTTTCTTAAACACCACTTCCAGTTCTACAGACACGCCTCAGGTAAAGCTTAATGGTTAGAGAAATAGATAATACAATAAATACACATATTATCTCTCAAGGATAGTACGACGGAGTTTGATGCATAATGCAATCTTAGATGTTGAGTATAGACTGAATGTTACGCCATTTAAATTTAAATGGTTATTGCAATGTTGGCGCAGTTATATAAAAATGCTGTGCTGTAATAACTATTGGTGTAGTGTTACAGCATGCATAAGCAGGACTAAAATAACAGATTCTGGTTAGAACTCTGTCGATTCAAACTGAGCGGAAGTGGCTTGAACACTGCAGGAATTCTGTCAGTCATGAATTGTCTTTGCTTAAGTTTTTATTTTGTTTTGTTTAACGGCATATCAACTCTTTATGGATCATTTAATACCGAAATTTTATTTTTTAATATTTGTTAATATTTTTATTTTATTTTTTTTATTTTCTAATATTTGTTAATTTTTTATTTTATTTTATTTTTTAATTTTTTATTTTCTAATATTTTAATATTTTATTTTATTTTATTTTTTTTTTTTTCTGATATTTGTTAATATTTTTATTTCATTTTTTATTTTCAAATATTTTTTAATATTTTTTTTTATTTTATTTTTTTATTTTCTAATATTTGTTAATATTTTTTTTTTTTTAATTTTTTTATTTTCTAATATTTTTTAATATTTTTATTTTATTTTTTTTTTTTATTTTTTAATATTTGTTAATATTTTATTTTTTATTTTATTTTATTTTTTTTATTTTCTAATATTTGTTAATATTTTTATTTTATTTTTTTTCTAATAGTTTTAATATTTTATTTTATTTTATTTTTTATTTTCTAATATTTGTTAATATTTTTATTTTATTTTATTTTTTTTATTTTCTGATATTTGTTAATATTTTTTATTTTATTTTTATTTTCAAATATTTTTAATATTTTTATTTTATTTTATTTTTTTTATTTTCTAATATTTGTTAATATTTTTATTTTTTATTTTTTTTATTTTCTAATATTTGTTAATATTTTTATTTTATTTTATTTGTTTATTTTTTTATTTTCTAATATTTGTTAATATTTCTATTTTATTTTATTTTTTTTTTTTATTTTCTGATATTTGTTAATATTTTTATTTTATTTTTTATTTTCAAATATTTTAATATTTTATTTTATTTTATTTTTTATTTTCTAATATTTGTTAATATTTTTATTTTTTTTTTTTTATTTTCTAATATTTTTTAATATTTTTTATTTTATTTTATTTTTTATTTTCTAATATTTGTTAATATTTTTTATTTTATTTTTTATTTTCTAATATTTGTTAATATTTTATTTTATTTTTTATTTTCTAATATTTGTTAATATTTTTTATTTTTTTTTTTTTATTTTCTAATATTTATTAATATTTTTATTTTATTTTATTTTTTATTTTTATTTTCTAATATTTTTAATATTTCTATTTATTTTATTTTTATTTTTTATTTTCTGATATTTGTTAATATTTTTATTTTATTTTTTATTTTCAAATATTTTTAATATTTTTATTTTATTTTATTTTTTTTTATTTTCTGATATTTTTTTAATATTTTTATTTTTTATTTTTTTATTTTCTAATATTTTTTAATATTTTTTTATTTTATTTTTTATTTTCTAATATTTGTTAATATTTTATTTTATTTTATTTTTTATTTTTCTAATATTTATTAATATTTTTTATTTTATTTTTTTTATTTTTCTAATATTTGTTAATATTTTTATTTTATTTTTTATTTTCTAATATTTTTTAATATTTTTATTTTATTTTTTTATTTTCTAATTTTTGTTAATATTTTTATTTTATTTTATTTGTTTTATTTTAATTTTCTAATATTTATTTAATATTTCTATTTTATTTTATTTTTTTTTTATTTTCTGATATTTGTTAATATTTTTATTTCATTTTTTATTTTCAAATATTTTTTAATATTTTTTATTTATTTATTTTATTTTTTTATTTTCTAATATTTTTAATATTTTATTTTATTTTATTTTTTTATTTTCTAATATTTGTTAATATTTTTATTTTTTTATTTTTTTATTTTCTAATATTTTTAATATTTTTATTTTATTTTTTTTTTTTATTTTCTAATATTTGTTAATATTTTTTATTTTATTTTTTTTTTTTTTATTTTCTAATATTTGTTAATATTTTTATTTTATTTTTTTCTAATAGTTTTAATATTTTATTTTATTTTTTTTTTTTATTTTCTAATATTTGTTAATATTTTTATTTTATTTTATTTTTTTTATTTTCTAATATTTGTTAATATTTTTATTTTATTTTATTTTATTTTCTAATATTTATTAATTTTTTTGTTAAATTGCTTCTTTTTTTTTTACCAAAAATGTATTGCTGCTAATTTTAATTTTTTTTTTTACTATGAAAATATATTGATGGTAATTTATTCTAATGTATTTTTATATTTTGATGTTTTGACCCTAGTTTGGGAGAGTTCACTATTTGCCATAGCTGGGACCCTAACAGGTGCTACCACCCTTGGTCAAGGTGGAGCTGGGGGTAACTCCTAACTCCGCTTGGGTTTTGATATAAGACCAAAAGACACGCGGAGATCGCACGAATACAAGAATAAGAGGAAAATAAAGCAAAGCAAGCCCTTATAAACCATCTCCTACACCAACATGAGGGGGGTGTCTACGTTCCAACTTTCCAGAAGTAGAACACTATCCTCTTTCATCTAAACCAGACCTCTTTCTACTTTCTGAAACTGGTATAAAACAATTCATGCGCACTAGGGGAGTTGACAGTCCCGCGCGCCTCAACACTCATAGCGAATCATGATCACATAAATCGTCACGGCCACGGACTCGGAGCCTACATCAAGGACGACTTTCCCTGTGGTAGGGACGCAAAAAAAACGAGGAACCCAATCTCCCGTATATATGTTTCCGCGTGGCACTTATCTATATTACAACATTTTTCATTGCTCACTATCGTCCTCTGGACGAAGGGATGGTAATCTTCGATCGAATATTTGAGAAGATTGATCATATCTTTACTCAGTTCCCCTTGGCCAGCTTTCATATCTGCGGTGACTTTAATAGCCACCATAAAGAGTGGCTAGTCCACTCCAACAAAACCGGACACGACGTGACATCTGTCAAATCTCCTCGACCTCTTCCTAACCCCCTGTCCTGATAAAAGAGTATCAAATGTTTCACCTCAATTAGTAAGAGCATTAATCTAATCAGTGTCCAGATTGATGTTAAACCTAAAGGATCCCTTGATGTACCATTCCATAAAACGATGTTTCGCTGTAGAGTGGGACAGCTTTTGATCCTATATGATGGAAGATCCTCTCCCAACTTTCTTCAAGCATTCTGCCACCAAAATGATGCCCTTGCCACTGATTGGATCCTTCTGAAACGGAGAGTTTTATACCCCCCCCCCAAAAAAAAAGTTACAGCAAAAACATGTCAGCTCTGGCTTAACCCTGAACGCTCTGAAGCCATAAATCACCAAAACTTTTTTTTTTCAATATCTATGAA